CTCTTGCCACAGAAGAAGAGGGAGGGACGACGCACCTGCTGCAGATAGAAGCAGCAAACTAGGGCAATCAAAGCTATGATGTTGTGACTAATGACGTTGATGATGATGATTGGTGATGGCGCGTGGTTAGTTTGCTGATTCATGTGATGGGTAGTAGCTAACATACAAGAGTCGATGAATGACTTTGAAGGACTACACAATACTTCTTGTGGGCCCGCGCGGCTGCCTACCACTGCTGCTGGCTGGATACTCATGCAAGTACTCATTATACTCATAGGTTTACTCATAGACAGTCAGCAATTTACTCATGCAATACTCATAGACGTCTCTAAAAGTACTCATTCCATGAGTACCGCTGCGGAAAACATGTATAAGTAACTCGAGTACTTTGTACTCACCCATGACTCATAAGGACCTCCTATGAGTACATGTTACTCATAGGCCATGAGTTAGCTCGAGTCACGAGAAACGAACGATGCCCACCCATACTCACCCATCTCATGGGCAATTACCCAATACTCATCCGGTCTGTGTATACTTTACACTGTTGTCAAGTACGATAATGAGTATCACTTTGAGTATGGGAGGGTGATGAGACTCCGAGAACGACAGGACCTTGGAATTCGTGGACATTTAGTCTCACGTACAAACGTCCTCGGAGCGTTTGAGAGCACGGACCCGTATCGTCAACATTACTCAATTCGTTCAATTTGGTAGGAGTTGTCGTCAATTCGACGACTCAGTCTGCAAAGAATAAATTTACTGTAAGGAAGGAGCATTATATGTTCACCTGTCTGTAATAAGCGTTTGTTCTTATTTAGGCCGAGAATCAGGCGCAAAAGTTGGCTTATGATCGAAAGCGGTTATTGTGCGGCTAAGAGGGAGCTTACTAGCTATGAAAATGCGCTGGCGAGACACCTTATTACTCGCCTCAACTTAAGCGCCTGTGAATGCACAATCGAGTCAGACAGTGAGGTCGGTAATGCTAAGTATTAATTCTTTGAAGGCAGAAAAAGGAATAATGTATTTCTGTAGGTGACAGAGGCTATGATGACTAGATATTCTTTCGTGCTACAAACGAGCAACAGCTCATCGCGCTATTGGTATTCAAGCTAGAAGGCCACGCATGATAATTGGCACCCACGTGAGGTACTTAAGAAGCGCGTTATGCAACAGTTGCCTCGGGTGCCTGCACCGCTTTACCAGGTGTTCTGTGTGCAATCAAGAAGGGAGATAATAAGCGGCCGATGTCACAGGTGAATTCGAGCTCTTTAGCAATTGGAATGACGGCACTTTTGAAAATGGTACAGGTTACCATCTATATAAAACGTCTCATTGCAGGTGCTTTTTGCACGAGACCCTTTTGTGTTTGTTCATGCTTCCTCTTTCGAGAAGCAGTGGGTGTCGAATCTAAGGGGAGGGTATAATCTTTAAAGGGGTTACACAAACCCTGGTATGAAGGGTTGGGTCACACAATATGGTGTGACCACACAATGTTGTGGCTTCACCTTGACAAGAAGCCATTACGTAATCTGACCAGTCGTCTTCCGTTCTATCATGAAGCTACAATGAAAAGTTTTAAAATTCGAAAAGGCGATGTGAAGATATTTGGTTCAGCACTTGCAGGCTGAAGCAATTGAACTCAAAAGATTGCTTGTAAGCAATTGGCTGGTCTGCCAGTAGTTATGCATTTTACTATAGAAAACCTATAGATTTAGGTGTAGGCGGCTTTGCCACAAATAAAAGAAAGAAATACAGTTTACATTTTGAACGGAAGAATTTATCGGCCGTGGGTAAAGTTTGTGGTTCCTCTTGAAGTAAGCAAATTGCGATCTGCTACACTTGTACTGGTTCTAATCATAGAACAAAAAAGTCGGTGACCTAATCTTAGTTTTCTCTAAGCGAAAGAGCTACGGCAGCCCCAATGCACAGTTTTTGTGCCATGAGAACCAGTGGAAGCTTGGATGGCGGAGGTTCTATGAGCGTGTATAAGGCGATGGACCTCATTCAGAATAATAGATTTTGTCGCCGCCGCGCCTCTTCGTGATACTTGCAGACAACTTATTTGTGACATCACCAAAACAATCTTGCCCTGCATGCCTTTCACTCTACAACCGGTCTAATCAAAGAGCACACAAAATGGCTCATGCTGATATACTGAGACATGTCTTTGTGATACCAGACCCGAGAGTGCCCACGAGTGCCGTTTGTTTCCCGAGGTAGCTGCTTCATGAACAAGACATGGCACACTTTCATGTGGAGCGCCATATATATAAGTCATTTTTATTGGGCTGTGCTAACGTAGGATTTTTCATCTTTGCAATGGCATCAGACCCTCTCGTGGAGGCAAAACAGATATCATTATTATGAAAGGCCTCTATATGGGTGCAGCTCACATCAAGACCTTCCACGTTCACTCTTTCTCTTTACGAAAAGCGGTGGGCGTCAGGAACAATGTAGAGTACGGCCTTCGTGCCGCTAGAGCACAATCTGGCAAGACCTATGAGCACGCCAGTGATCATTGACCAAAGTTTTGCTGAGAAGAAAGAGAATGACTCGTTAGCTGCAGAGTAGATCGCAAATGTTGCAGATGCTCCCACTATAAGTACACCAAATATTTACGCCTTGCGTGCCCCTTCGTTCACGGCTGAGAGAAGCTATGCGTCGCGTAAGGCAGACGACAAACCCCTTGTGAAGAAACGACATGCCCCAGTAGGCGCTAAGCGGTCTACCGGGAAGAATCTAATTTGATTGCACATCGTCGAAATCGTGGTCAATGAGATTTTGCTTTGAAAGAAACGACTCACCCATAAGAGGTGGAGCTTAACCCTCTGGGTTGCTAGCTGTAGATATCAATCTCCTAGGCTTTAAAAGCCTTGAAAACCCTTCATTTTTAAGGAGCGTCTGCACGGCTTTTGAATCAGTTGGCAGTATTCGGAAGCACTAAAGATGCCAGGTGCGTATACATACGTGCATATTGCGGCAAAGACACCGGCTTACATGTCGAAAGTCATGTCTAGCTCCGACTGAAGTCTGAAGGCGTGGAATGTTGTCCAGTTCTGAATCTACATAGAAAGGAGATAGCGTTGCTGGGTGCCTCTAAAAGAGCTTGAAAGCGGTAGTTAGCCGAGGTCTCTGGATGATACGGGAAAAGACGACTGCATTTCGTGGTCTCTCGATTGCGTCACTGGCAAGACGGTCATGAACAGCTGGAAAGTGTCTCCTGTGCCAGTATGTGTGGAAGCGACTCGTTGTCACAATCTTCCGTGCCAAATCTGGTGAAGTCGAAAGGCGGCTGTAAGTCGCGGTTGGATGGGCTAGACTATCATATTAAGTGTGATGACCCATCTTAAGCACAAAGTGGCGGTTATATTGAGTCAGTGTTATCATGCGACACTATCAGCTCGCAGAAAAGTAACGCTTAACAATAAATTGGTGGGCCAGCTTTTTCATTCGTGATTAAACTTACCGGGGTTGTCGTAGATGCTGTAGATTATTTTCAATACCTATGGCAAAATGTTTGATAGAACCAAAAGAGTTCTCACTAAGATACGTGCAATTAACGCATGACGGTGAGGCCATCAAAAATTTATGCTTAGTCTAACGGAAGAGCCGCGAGCTCGTTGACCGTCATGATTAAATCTATAATTGCACAGCAATCACAGCGAAAAATTTGGGACTGTTATTCTTATAGATCCTTTTATTCCCTTGCCACTGGAATATCACGGTTTGGTACCGAGGCAGCCAACGAGTACAACTAAACTTTCCTTTCGGAGCTCCATCATCTTGATAGTTACCAGCTCTTCTGAGCGTATGGTTATGCACAATTACACCAACATGCGATGTGAAATAAGTACATTTTTAAAGTATTGTATCGAATACAATTGTACCAAATGTGTAAGAGTTAAGCACACAGCAGTACTTGCCTTGATTCGGCTTCTCTTCAAGAAATGCACGCAACCCGGTTACTGATGGTACCTGGTGTCCTTGATAAGGTAATCAAACAGCTCGTATCTCTTCCTCATAAAAGATACGACCCTCTCACGACTCGGTCGTGGGAATTTTAACAAGTGCTACCAAGTGTGACAGGGTTGCCATGCACCTTGCTCAGAAAGATCTTCGACGCAAAGAGTTTGCATTGACAAACGCGGTGGTTGGATTTGTACGCTCTACCTACGAGCGAGATTGAGGGCCTTTGTAGCAGCTAATCATCTTGATTTTTCTGCTTTTTTAAGAGTGACATACATAACATCTAAGTGAGAGTTAAGTACACACCTTCTAGTATACAAAATAAGACTATCTTTGTTGCTGGACCAGCCCACGCGTACCACGGACCTCTTTACAGAGTCCCTTCTTCTTTATCAGTACTATTTCATTGATACCTCTGCATATTCACAACTACCCAGATGTGAAATATGATTTTTTGATTGTACAAATGAACGGTGGAGGTACACCATCGTACAGTACGTAACCATTGTCTTTGTGAACCCAGTATTACGTACTTCTTACGCCTTAAACTTTTCAGAAGGTTAATGCATAATACGGTTTGAACCTTGCAAGCTTAAATTAAGTGATACTTTGTTAAAAATAAACTACATTTTTATAGTAATACTACTGTTTCACAGACCAATATTTTTAACGGATATCCTATTTACAAAGCTATCAACGATGTTTTGGCCAGCTCAGCAAAAGTCCTCAACCGATCTTCTGTATCAAAAATTGATCAGGCGTCGCATAATTAGTTATCTCGACATTTAAGTGTTCGACATCTTCATCTTTCAAAACTCCAAAATTGCTCTGGCTTACTGTGACACAGAGCAAAACCGACACGACACAGACATCTACGTAAAATATATCCAGACACCCTTCGCGATGTTTTAGGTCAAGAGTCTGCTTTGAATGTTACTGCAGATGCACCGTATTGGAACAAACCGAGTCGTGTACTCCAAACAGAATGTCGTGAGCTTCCACAATTTCGATTGCCATTGCTGGCTCAGATAGTGAAGCATGGCACGAATGATCAAGAAGTCCAATCACTTGGCATAAGCTGTAGATTAATCGGCTACAAGATTATGATAAAGGTTGATGGCGAGAGAACGCACTTGCGCAAAAATGACAAGCTCATTTAAGAACTCTTGAGCTAATTTGGCAAGATGATAATGTGAGCAAATAGTTTGGTGATCGGCCAGGATTCGCGATACTATAGTGAGCATATCAACGGTAGAAAGATATAAAAATAAATGTACGAAAAGAGGTGAGATGACCAATCACAAAAATATTGACAGGTCTTAAAATATACTTAGTAAGTTTATTGAAACGTAGTAAGAATCTTGGACGAGCAGAACTCTTGAAATAGAGCTCAGTTCGTGCCATTTCGGTTCAAAGGCAATTATCAATTCGCACTTTGTCATCTTAAATATTTTTGCAACGTAAATCTTGTCAAGCACGTCATGAATAAGCGCAGAGTCTTCAGTGCTGAGGCAGATACTCGAGCCAAAGCTCTGAATTTGCTGGTTCGAGTACGTGATTCATTTGACTCTTTTTGAATTCCTTAACATAACGATTTAAACGTTGTGTCATTAGGAAAAATGCAAAAGTGACAAGAGAAAAGCAGTAGCAGACGCTTTGACAGCAAAGCTCACAGCAAAATATGCCAAGCAAGATCCAACATTTGCCTCGACTATCATGTCAATGACTACTCAGCTTTTAATGTACTCGCAAAGAAGGGTGATGGAGGCAGATATTGTGGCGTTGGAAGCAATTGTCAAGAAGATGAGTATGGAGCGTCAGAAGTTAGAGCATGTGAATGGAAGAATAGAAGGTCAGAGTGCTCGAGAAAGTCATAGAGAAACAGCACAAAGTGCTGGATCTGAACGAGCATCAAATAGGCCAGTAATTAATTTAGCAGATCTCAAGAAACATGATGAGTGGGTTCTTCTCGATGCACTTACTTTGGTCGAGTTTGAAAGAGATCGAGAAAAAGAAAAGGTGAAAGCATTGGAGAAGAAAAAGACCCAAAAGGCATGGCTTGATGTACAACAGCAAGAAAAAGTCAAGTCTCAAAAGTTCGAGAAAAAAATGAAAGAAGAAGAGTTTGAGCATCAACTGCACGATCTGACTAAGTGGCGAGGAGAGGAGAGCATTAAATTACAGCGAGAGCAAGAATGCATGTTGAAAGTCCGTCGGGAACGAGACGAGCAGCTTAGAATAAAGAAAAGTGCGATAGAAGAACGTGAAGCTAAGCGAAAACAAGAAGAAGCAGAAGAGGTCGAGCGTGTACGAGCAGAATTGAAGCGTCAAGAGATTCAAGCTCGTCATCGTCGTGAGGTCGAACATGCGCGTATGAAAAAATTTCAGACTGAGAACTCACTGATCCAAAGTCAGAAAAGCCTCGTAAAGCTTCAAGAACATCAAGAAGATGTGGAGCTTATGGAAGCTTATGCTCGACGGTTAGAAAAAGAGGATGACGAGCGGATGCGTCGATTGCAATCAAATCTTCGAAAACGTGACCAACGGATGGAAATTGCCGAATCCATTCAGACACAGATAAAGCAGAAAGCACTCGAGGACGAGCGCCGTGCAGAAGAGCATCAGAGAAAAAAGAATGCAGCTGACCAATTAGTGCAATTGCAAAAGCAAGATGCGGATCGAAAGGAGGCACTTGAGCGCCAGCAGTTCTTGCTAGAACAACGGGCAGAGAAGAAACACCGAGAGCGTAAAGAAGTTGAGGATGATCTGACATTTGCACGTCAGTATCATTCCGAAGCCCAAGCCGCACTTAAAGCTCAACAATGTCAAGATCGAGAGACTCGTCATCGAAATAAAAGTTTTCAGGAAAAGCTAATAGCACAAATGGCCGAGCAGAGACAAAATCAATCAAAGTCATCGATGCACTTATCTCGGACTTTTATGAATAGCCGCGAGAGGCGCTTGAATGCAAAGCTTTTACAAAAGCTTGAAGACCCTGAAATAGGTCAAAAGGTTCTGAAGGTACTTAGCCCTCTGAATGAAGTGCCTATCATTGCGACTACTTTCTATTAAATCATCGTTGTATTCAAAGTTATCCATCAAATACAACACTCATTTCGCGAATTGATTGTAACATTAGTTACAAGACTTTGCCTTTGAAATTTATTACCCAGCTGCTCTATACTTAAGTACATCTTTCACGATTGAAATCTAGTCTCACAAACTTGATGATGAGCATGAACATTCAGTGCGAGGCTAGACAAGTTAGTGCTGCAACTGTATGATACTTGAGCATAATTTGATCAAGTGAGCATTATACATGATAGCTAGCAAATTGGAGACATCAATTCTGCTTTAAACGTTTGCCACTATAAACACATGAATGAGTCCTGGAGATTCATGACTTGAAGTAATATGTAAGCGTATGTACTAGATCTCCAGGCTTCTTGATACTTCATCCACTTTGTCAAGTTATTGCAATATATAAAATCGAAAAGCGACCTTTATTTTGTTGCACCTGCAGTCATGACTTACATAAGTCGATTGTGTGTGTAGTATCTGCAAATTTGAGCGTGACAAAATCGTGTTAAATTCAAACATATCATAAGTATTGGATTACCGTTATATCTTCGAAAGAAGTGAAATCCAACTTTTCAGAATTCACTCATTTTAGACAAAAACTAAATTCATCAAGTAAATTGACAGAAAATAATCACACGAATATCAAATTTTGTCATGCATCGAAATCATGCATTTCACTTCATTTTAATTCCTTTGCACGCAATCGTATGCTTGGAGATAGCATTGACTGCAATAAATACAAAAGTAACGAACTCGAAATCACTCAAAAAAACATCTTGCGTGAATACACTTCACAAACTCCAGCTGGACCGAAGACTCGGCTTCGATAACGAGAGTAGAGTAATGTGATGAAAAAAGCACCAGCAAATTTGAACCATACTTCGCTTTTTAGCAGGTGACACGAATGACGAGTAATCTGGAAAGCTAATGTATTGTTATTGCACTACTTCTTCGTGGAATAATAGAACACAATATATCACTCTTAAAACAACTAAAAGAAAAGTACTATATTACTTGAGAGACTATCCATACAGCTAGCTAGCTACCTATGGATTTTTGGTATAGCATTTGAACAGGCAGAAATAGCAAGAGCTGAAATGCGA